TTGTTTTGTTTTGTTTTTCATGGTTGTGTTTATGCATATTCTTATTACATCAATTCAGCTAATAACACCCATTAAAATGATATGGATGTACCTATTGAATATAGCTCATAGACTCTGTGCATGTGAAGCCATGCTCTCTGTGAATTTAACCTTAAGGAAGTTCAGATTTAACTCCCTTTTTTGTCTGACATCCTTCCTCTGAGACCTGGTCTGGCTCTGCAGGGGCAGTGACGTGTGCAGGGCTGCAGAGGAAAAGAGTCCCATCCCAGCAGCACGGCCAGGGAGCACCAGCGCTTGGGGCATGCAGAGCTGCTCTCTTGCCACTGCTGCCCTGTCCTGCTGAGCCCTGCTGGTGGGGTCAGGCCCAGCTGCTCAATCTGCTGTGAGCAGGCAGAGGAGAGCTCTGCAGCCCCAGGGCACACAGAAGCCCCAGCAAAGGAGCCTGGCCAGTGATTCCTTGCAGCCCTGGAGCAATGGCAGTGACCCCATGAGCTGGGTCTGCCTCCCAGCCTGCCCAGCACGGCCCTGCAGAGTGCCCCCATGCCCCGGTCACCACAGCCCCCTCACTCTGCAGAGCAGCACCACCAGCTGGGGCTGGGGCTGGGGCTGGGGCTGGGGCTGGGAGGGTGCTTCCCCTGAGTGTCTTCTAGGCCAGCTTCAGGCTTCTGGACTTGAGTGTGATCTCCACTGTGCACTAGGAGCTGAGAGACCACCAACAGGCATGGGGCTGGAACATTTCCTCCAAGGTTCCTCCTGCCCTAGCACCACACAGGACTGGCACGGAACTGGCTCCTGTGTGTCAGAGAGCCTGGGAGCCCAGCAGGTGTGCCATGAGCTTGGAGGATCACAACCAGATCACTTCTACATGGGCAGGTCCTGGCCCAAAAAGGGGGTGTTTTGTAGGTGTGGTATTATAAGCTTAGTGGTGTCTCAGAAGCACTAAGTCCAGCAGGAAGCGAATGGCTGTTAAATGGTGTGGTGGTTTTACCATGCTGGGCAGCTAAATCCCAAAACCGCTCTCTCACTCCCCCTCTTTTAGATGAGACCCAGTACAAATGGCCTGTGAGGTGAGCTCTTTCTGAAGTAGCTGACAGGTCACCCTTGACTCCTGGCTGGGATCTGTGCCTTTAGGCTCACATCTGCCAGTGTCCATGGTAGGGCAGCAGAAGGCACTTGCTGTGCATGTAGTTTCTGAGATCGGCTCTTTCTAAGTACCTGGTAGGCCCCATAGTGGAAGAGGTCTTGGATAGGGGTTGTCATGTCAGAGGTGTCAGCTTTTGCCTGAAGTCATCCTTCAGGGCTGCTTTCAGTTTTCTACACAGAGGGGGCCACTGCCTCCAAGACGCTTGGGGCAAACTGAACCATGCATGAGGGTTTGGAAAAAGATAGGCTGGGTGCACAGAAGCTATTCTGTATCTAAAAGTTGGAGGCAGGAAACAAAATTTTGTGGTGGTACAAGAGCTGCTGGGCACATTGTGCAGGGTTCACCTACAGCCTTTGAGTTATTTTCCATCCTGACTTAGGTGCCATGTCAGTCTCAAGAAAGGAGTACCCAACGGATATGAGACAGATACTGAGATCATGAAAGCCATCAGAAAGCTGCCCCTAGGAAGATGACTGATATGGGGAAGTCAGGAGAAGCCTGGCCAGGAGAGATGTGAGATTTTAGAGAGGTAAGAGGAGTTTGGCCAGCAGAAATTAATTATTTCTGTGAGGTTAGAATGTTCAGGCAATGTTGATTCTGCTGTAACATTGACTTAAAATAGTCATGTAAAGCCCTTGCACTATTTTAATCAGTGATATTGATTCCCAAACCTAAATGCTACTCCACACCCTGACAGGAATCCACTATTCTTATGCCTGACCTCAAAGTATCCCTTCAAGCCAAAACACAGCCTATAGTCACTTCCCTTTATCTTTAGTCTCTTGCTCACCCTGATCTGATCAGCTTGTGGGGCACAAGAGATGGGAGAGAATGCTCTGAGGAGCTCAGATCTGCCTCAGCATCTCCTGCCCCAGCAGCAAGAATGTGACTGTGGCAGTGACTGTGAGGTCACTTCTGTCTCTGCAATTGATAGGGCAGCAGCAGGAACGTGTCACACAAAGGGACTGTGAGGTCACTTGTGTCTGGAGGTGGCAGGTCAGCCTTGACTTCTCCCTGGGATCTGCACTTTTGGGCTGACATCTGGCAGTGGCCCTGCTAGGCCAGCAGAAGGCACCTGCTTGGCATGCTGAGTGTTGGCATTGCTTCCTTGCAACACTGTGCAGGGGTGCGGAGGTGTCATAATGGAGTTCTTCTAGTAGCATCACAGTACCCACCACATCCCACAGACCCCAAGAAGAGCCTTGAGCCAGACGTGGGGGTGCAGGATCTCCCTTTCCATTGGCTGGGGTCAGGCCTTGGCTCTTCTGTTTCACCAAAACCAACCAAGACTTTTCTCAGCACAGTGCTTTGCCTGTCTGTAACAATGGCCTTCAGTTATCTGCCCTAACACATCCCTGGGGAGGCTTTGTTAGTAACAACCCTCAGTGGGGCCCACTAATTTTCCAAGTCACTTCAACTTTTCCTTCTGACTTTACTTTCTCTAGCAGTTGCATCATTGTCCTCTCAGTACCTGAGCTTCATAGACTCAGCACCACAATACACCATGGAACTCATTAAAATGCAGAAATTCCTAACATCTCTTCCATAGTATTCTTCAAGCCTTTGTGCCTTGTGTAGCTAATTGCAGAGCTTGCATGATATAGTCAAAGAAGATTTCAAAAAGCAGCTAATAAAAAATATTTTATTGTTTTAAAGGCTGATTTTTGCTGCATTTCAGTTTTGAGCATCATTCTCCTCTTGCTATTTATCCAGGGTGACTTCTTTGGAGACCTCCATAGGGAGGAAAAGCAGAGTCTGGAGGTCTGACACCTCTACTGCCAGCAGTGGTCTTCGTCCCTGTAACTGCAGCCCAGCGCAGCACATGAAACCCTTTCTAAGATAAGTCAGAGAAAAAGTGAATAAAATAATAAATAAAATAAAATAAAATAAAATAAAATAAAATAAAATAAAATAAAATAAAATAAAATAAAATAAAATAATAAAATAAAATAATAAAATCAATCAATAAATAAAAAATAAAGTTGAAATGACCGTTGGATCCTGAGAAATTCAAAATGAATTGTAGTAGACAACTGGACATCCATGGTCTCTCTTGGGTCTTCTGTGGAAAACTCAGGATGAAAAGTAAAAAAAAAGAATCTTCAAGTGGCTGTACCTGTACCCATGAGCTCGGCCTCTTTGGGGAAATTTTTCCCTTCCAGCCATGGAAACCTAAACTGAGTGATGTGAAAGGACCTGCCCAGTCAATAGAGTAGGGCAAAGTCCCACTTCCTGTGTTATAGATGCAGAAGGCAAAAAGAATTGCATTGTGCCTGACACTACTCTGGGACGTGTAACCCAGGTCAAGCAACTTTACCTTAGTGCTGACAAGGCCATCACTAAACCACGCTCCCAAGCTCTACATCTACACCTTGACTCTCCAGTCGATGACCCAGCTCATGGATGGCAATCAGGGAGTCTCGGTTAGCGCGATGCTGCCTTAGGTCCTCCACCATGGTAGCCATTGGCACCTGCTGTTCTTCAGCCCTCAGCAAACCAACAACAGAAGGGTTTTGTGGAAGGCCAAGCAAGGTAGACAGCTGATTCATGTCCTTTGTCTCCAAGGCATCTCTGCCAAAGCCCCACCAGTGGTGCCCTCTTGGAACTTTGAAGTTCCCGCTCCTGAAGCAGTCTATGCTGAGTGTGCACATAGCCTCTGGGCCAATCGTAATGGGGTGCTTTGGCCATTCCTTCCCAGTTAGACTCACCTCAGCCCCCAGTACAGTTAACTGTTGGGATGCCCCTGTCACTCCAGATATACGGGAGAGTACTACCTCTTTGTAGCTTGATGGTATCAGGGTACATTCTACACTAGTGTCCAGTAGAGCCTGATACATTTGTGGGTGTGATGTGCCAGGACATCAAATATACCCAGTCCAGTAAACCCAATTGTCCCTTTCCTCCCTGCCTCCCCCTGGCTAGAAGGAGGACCCCACTAGTCCTGCTCATAGTATTCATTACTGTGTCTGGTAGACGAACCACTGGAAACACGTCCCACTATGGCACAGTCATCCCACAAGACAGGGGACAGGGCACTGACAGCCAAGGGACACATTTGGGTGTGGAAAGTGGGGCTTAGCAGCAACAAGGAGTCAAGACAGATGGGTGGGGGAGTGTTCTAGTTTCAATAAGGAAAAAGTTAATCTTCCAGTGGGCCGTCTACCAGTCACATTAATGAATAATTTTCTTCCTAGTAGCTGGTAGGGTGCTAGGTTTTGGATTAGGATAGGAAGAGTGCTGATAACATGCTGATATTTCAATTGTTGCAGAGCAGGGCTTACACCAAGCCAAGGACGGTTCAGCTTCTCACTCTGTCCTGTCAGTGGGCAGGCTTTGGGTGCAGCAAGAGCTGGGAGGGGACAGACCCAGGACAGCTGACCCAAACTGGAAAAGGGGTTTTCCATACCATCTGACATCATGCTAAACAATAGATAGGGGTGGCTAGCCAGGGGGGGTGGCAGGGAAGGGTAGGGGCAGACTGCTCGGGGTTGGGCTGGGCATTGGTCAGTGGGTGGTGAGCAATTGTTTTGTACATCACTTGTTTGTACACATTAGTAGTAGTAGTACTATTATCATCATTATTGTTATTATTTTTATTTTCCTGTCTTAATAAACGGTCTTTATCTCAACTCACAGGCTTCACTTTCCTGTTTCTCTCCCCCATGCCAGAGAGGGAAGGGCAAGGGTGAGCAAACAGCTCTGTGGATTTTAGCTGCTGGGTGGGTTAAACCACAACACTGAATAATTAAAATAAGATATTAAAATGTAGGAAATAATAATAAAGATAACTAATTAGAAGAAACAATGTTAAGAGTTTTCTGGAAAACCTGTGAGTCCCATTAGTATAACAGGCACATTATTTATGATGAAGAAGCAGGTATCCAAACAGTTTCCCCACTGCATCCTTGAGCTCCTGGTTCCTCATGCTGTAGATGAGGGGGTTCAGAGCTGGAGGCACCACCGAGTACAGAAATGACACCACCAGGTCCAAGATGGGAGAAGAGATGGAGGGGGGCTTCAGGTAGGCAAACATCCCAGTACTGACAAAGAGCATGACAAGGGCTAGGTGTGGTAGGCACGTGGAAAAGGCTTTGTGCTGGCCCTGTTCAGAGGGTATCCTCAGCACAGCTCTGAAGATCTGCACATAGGACAACACAATGAAAACAAAACAACCGAAGGCCAAAAAAACACTAAACACAAGTGCCCCAACTTCCCTGAGGTAGGCATCTGAGCAGGAGAGCTTGAGGATCTGGGGGATTTCACAGAAGAACTGGTCCACAGCATTGCCTTGGCAGAGGGGCAGAGAAAATGTGTTGGCCGTGTGCAGGATACTATACAGAAAGCCACTGCCCCAGGCAGCTGCTGCCATCTGGGCACAAGCTCTGCTGCCCAGGAGGCTCCCGTAGTGCAGGGGCTTGCAGATGGCCACGTAGCGGTCGTAGGCCATGACGGTGAGTATAGAGTACTCTGTTGCTAGAAAGAAGAGAAAGAAAAAGACCTGAGCAGCACATCCTTGATAGGAGATGGCCCTGTTGTCCCAGAGGGCATTGGCCATGGCTTTGGGCAGAGTGGTGGAGATGCAGCCCAGGTCGAGGAGGGCGAGGTTGAGGAGGAAGAAGTACATGGGGGTGTGGAGGCGGTGGTGGCAGGCTACGGCGCTGAGGATGAGGCCGTTGCCCAGGAGGGCAGCCAGGTAGATGCCCAGGAAGAGTGCGAAGTGCAGGAGCTGCAGCTCGCGCGTGTCTGCGAATGCCAGCAGCAGGAACTCAGTGATGGTGCTTCTGTTGGACATCTGCTTTTCTGGGGATATGGTCCTGAACAAAGAAGAGGATGAGAGTAATAAAGTACAAGAAATGTATCAGAGGGAAACAAATTCAGTTTCTCATTTAAAATCATTGCCTATATTGTGTACTTTCTGGCAGACATTTGGCAGATCCCTTTCATGCATCCTGATTCATTCTGCCTGAGGCTGTCTCTTGGAACACGGTGGACTACTGTCGGCAATGCAGGAGTCAGTCCTGTCCTCCAGGAAGAGGTGAAGAGGAACATAGGGAAATGTCAGTTTCTCTTCCCTCCTGATCTCAGAGGGTTTTTCCCCAGTGTTGCTCCCAGTTCACCAAACTGCAGAGCAGAGTTGTGGAGGCTTTTTTTAATTTTATTTTAAATTTTTGTTTTTTTGAGTTTTTGTTTCAGCTGTCCCACCACTCCTGAGGAATGTTTCCAAGCCACAGATCCTGGCTATTTCTGCTGGGCTCAAAGGGAATCCTTGTAGATCATTATCAGAGAAAAAGGGACTGTCACTTTAGTGCGCAGTGTTCTTTAGGGATGACAGCCAGTCTGTCCATCAAGTACGGTCTCGGATGCCCTGTGAGAGCTATAGTAAAGTTCTACTCACATTTGATTGAAAAGAGCAAAGGCCCTGCTGAGAGCAGAGGAATCCAGGCTCAAAGTGCCCATCTCCAGATGCCTCACCCTGTCCCCGTACTCCCCTTCCCTCAAGCACACTGAGGGCTCACCCCATGGGCATGTGAAACCCCCATCCCCAGCCAGCCTGAGAACAAGAGCAGCAGCAGCACGGCCACCTGGAGAAGCCAGGAGGAATGCCAGCGTGCTGCTGCCAGGGGAGGCAAGGCCAGGGAGGGACAGACGGACACTCAGCAGACCCTCCTGTGCTGCAGCTCTGCTTTCAGATGAGGCAGCTCCTGCTGGGGAAACTGGGGGCTTGAGAGCAGAGGCTGTGCTGGTGGGAGAGGAGAGCAGGGGGTGTCCCAGGGAAGGCACCTGCCCTGCAGGGTCTGGCAGTGAGGTACCTGAACCCTCTCTCGCACAACATTTCTGGCAGCAGGTCCCTCTCAGCACCTGCCCTTTTCATATCTCTACTGCCTTCCTATGTCCCTGCTGGAAGCAGGATCTCTGTCCCCATGCATCTTCTAAGTCCTTCCTTACAGACCCCATCCCACAAGATGTGTACTTCCTGAGTACAGGGCATCATGGGGGCTGCAGCTCCTAAAGACCTGATAAGTCCTGAGGAAACAACAAACGTTGTTTCAGTCTTTAGGCTGAGGTGCCTGAAGTTTCATTGTTGACATATTGATCTCTCACTGGAATAATCTTGGAGTCTCCATATCCTCTACAATCAGGAAAATTCATTGTCATGAAACCTGCCTCTCTTCCACACCAAGACTCTGAAAGCACAGAATCCAAGCAAGTCTTCCATTTCAAATAAACCAATCCTCAGTCTTCCTGTTAAAATGCCCCCTCAAAAATACCATTCTCTAAAACATTTTCTATGCCATATTACAGGTAGAATAAGACCCATCCTGAGAGATACTATAGGCCATCGTATGTGCCAGAAGAAGACCCCTCTGGCAACCCCACCTGCGTTGCCCTGCTGCCAGAGCCTCACGGTGTCAAGAGCCTGCAGATGTGTCCTGCCACACGCTGCCCTCTGTTGTTGCGCTCCTCAGTGCCTCCAAGCCCTCTCTCCTTCTCTCCTCTCTGTGTGCCAGCTGCGGTCAGAGCCCCCAGCCCTGCTGCGCTGTGCAGAGGAGCTGCTCTTGGGCACAGCTGGCTCTCTTTAACCAAGGCCCTCTTGCCACGAGCTCTCTCTGTCCCACGAGCCTGGTCCAGCTCAGCAGCACAGCACCAGCCCAAGGCACTGCAATCACCCCTCTGGGGGCTTGGCTGATGAGCCCACGAACCTCAGGCACTCAGAGACAATTGAAGACATCTCTCCAGAAGTCCAAGTCAGAAGCAAGTTTCCTGCAGTGTCCCCCTGAGGGCCAGCACTGACACAGCTTCCCTTGGAGCTCTTTAGAGCAGAACCCTGGAGGCAGCGAGGGCAAGGAGACAAAGGCAATGTGAAGGTGACATTGATGTGTAGACAAACTGGATGTGTGTCACAAGCACAAGGGCCAGACCTTGACCTCAAGCACTTAGGAAGGGATATCCTTTCCCTTGACTGGTTGCTCAGAGCTCTTTGTGGGGCAGTAGGAGATGGGGATGTGCATGGCCAAGCGCAGGAGAATGGTACAACCCCTGCCTGGTTCATGGGTGGGGGCGAGGAGGCAATGAGGTCCTGGTGCTTTAATAATAAGCTGTCTCCTCATGGGCCTCAGTGGCAGAGACAACAACCTAGCCATGGGCACAAAGACCTGGGTCCTGCTGGGACTCTCAGTCTTGTCACAGCCCTTAATCCTTTCCATGGCATCCTTTCCTAAGGACTCTCATAGCTGCACCTCTTTCCCTGCTTGCTGCAGTCACTTCTGTTGGTGGTCTCATAGATCTCAGCTGAGTCTGATAACTCAGATCTTCTTGGTGACCATGCTTCTCATAAGGCAACTCTGTAGGAAGCTGGCCTGGTTCCTGGTGAGCAGGCACCACTGCTCGTGTGGCATCCCTCGTGGTGCCCAGGCCCTCCTCCTACTGGACACTGCTCACTCAGCAGGGTCCCAGCCTGCCGTGATGTGTGGGGTTACTCTTTCTCCGGTGCAGGACTAAGCTCTTCTCCTTGTAAATGCCAAGAGGTTTCTGTAGGCAAAATCCTGTATTTTCTCAAGGTTCTCCCACACTGATGCTCCATTCTGTCAGCCATTCATGTCTGCAGTCAGACAGTTCAACCTTCCTGTGACTGTGCTATCTCTGACAAGACAGCAGCATCAGGACTCGCAGGGAAGTTTGGATAATACAGGAGTAACCAGCTGAATGGAATTGCAGCACAAAGTCACAGAAGGGTAGGGGATGGAAGGCTGTCAGGTTCTACCTCTTCTGTGCTTCCTTCTCATGCATGCTGTCAGTTTGTCTGGAGCATTGTGCTGAATGTTATGGGGATGTGCAGGTCTAAATTAGAAGGGCCAAAGGAAGGTGATTAAGGGATTGGAGCATCTCAATCCCATCCAATGGGATCCTAGACTGAATCAAGAGGAGTGTGGACAGCAGGTTGAGAGAGGTGATCCTCCCCTTTTACGCAGATCTGGTGAGGCCACACCTGGAATAGTGTGTGCAGTTCGGGGCTCCCCAGTACAGGAGGGGCATAGAATGTCTAGAGAGGGTCCAGCATAGAGCCAGGAAGGTGATTAAGGCATTTGAGCATCTGTCCTCTGAGGAAAGACTAAGCACGCTGGGCCTGTTTAGCCCAGAGAAGAGGAGATTGAGAAGGGATCTTATCAACCTCTACAAATACCTGAGGGGACAATGTAAAGAGAATGGTGCCAAACTCTTCTTAGTGGTGGCCAGTGATAGGACAAGGGGTAATGGGTACAAATTTAACCACAAGAGGTTTCATCACCAAATGAGGAAGAACTTCACTGTTTGCGTGACAGAGCACTGGAATAGGCTGCCCAGAGAGGTTTTCTCACCCAGAGAGGTTTCTCACACTGGAACAGGCTGCCCTGTTTGAGCAGGGGTGTTGGATTAGATGATGTCTGCAGGTCCATTCCAACCTCAACATTTCTGTGATTCTGTAAGAAAAGGGTCATTTAATTAAAAAATAATAATTATTCTCTACTTCCCATCACTGAGTGATGCTCAGTAATGTTCTGGGAAGCAGGGCCTGCATACACGTAGTGGCCGTATGGAAGGATAGATGTCTTCATAATGAGGGCCCCCTCTCTCCCTCCCCTTTCCCACCTTTTGTTGCTGAGTGTGACCTCATATGGTATGAAATATCCCTGTGGTTGGTTTAGGTCAGCTGCCCTGGTGATGTCCCCTTCCCACCTCTTGCCTATCTGCACCCTACTGGCTCTGGGGGATTTGGAGGTAGACTTGATGTACCAGTATTGCTCAGCAACAGACCAAACAGTGGGCTGATATCAGGGCTGTTCTAGAAAAAAGTGCCAAGCACAACACTGTTTGGGCCACTGCGAGGAAAGTTAACTACCCCAGCCAGACTCAGTGCTTTCCCCCAGGTACCAGATACCCCTCTCCGTGGTGGTCCACTTGCCTGGTTGACATAGAAGATCTTCCTGGAAGGGATACCTTTCCTTGATGCTTGACAAGTGTCACCTCCAGAGGGTGAAGCTATGTGCTACTTTTCCAATCCCTCTGTCAATCACCCCTTACCTACAGGGGGATCCCAGCTGCTTGGCTTCCCTGCCCTCTAAGTCCAGGCTACTGGCCCCATTCTCCCAGCATGGGGATGACGATTCTCCTTAATCCTCCTTTTTCTGAAGTATTTGTATAAATATTTTTTGTTGTCTTTCATGGTAATGGACGGATTGAGCTCCAGCTGGGCTTTGGCCCTTCTATATTCATCCCTGTACAGCCCCATAACATTTAGGACAAAGCTCCAGACAAACTGACAGCATGCATGAGAAGGAAGCACAGAAAAGGTGGAACCTGGCAGCCTTCCATCGCCTAACCTTCTGTGACTCTGTGCTGCAATTCCATTCAATTGGTTACTCCTGTATTATCCAAACTTTCCTGCAGCTCCTGATGCTGCTGTCTTGTCAGAGAGCGCACAATCACACAAAGGCTGAACTGTCTGCCTGCACACATGAACATCTGACATGATGTCGATGTAGAACTTGGTAGCACGGTTTAGTGATGGACTTGTCATTACCGAGGTAAAGTTGCATGACCGGGGTTACAGGTCCTCACCTTTCTATGTTCCCTCTAAACTCTTTTACATTCCTGATGGCCTCATCCTTAGGAGTCTGATGGTATCATCAACCATGGGGCTTGCCAACACCCATGGCCACACCCCCACATGACCCCTTCTTTATATCAACCATCTTCTTGACAAAAATGTTACTCCATATATCACACCCCACTGGGACTGGCCCAGAGGCTATG